TCCTCTACAATTGAATTTTGTAGAACTTTCTTCTCCCCAAATGTCACTCCCATACACAATAACTGGTCTGATAAGTTTATCAAATAGTGACAGTAGGATGGACATGTCCAGTATATCAATGATATATCAACAATAGTTTCATACATTCACCAATCTGCATATTCATAATTCTCCCAACATTACAGTTGCAACATGTGGGATTCATTTTCTCCACTGAACCAACACTACTGCTTGCCAATTTACTGTTAAGATGCGTGAAGACCATGGATAAAACTTGCCCAACTTGCTTAAAGTGTTGCTAATGTGTGTCTATAACTATAAAGAAATTGACGATTCCAAAAATTAAGTATTTGTGTTATCACAGCATATAAACTGGCAGAAACAAGTAACCGTGCTTTATGAAAAAATGAATAGAATGGGCTCAGATGCTTAGAACGCACGCACACAAATATTGATTTTAATGATTTTAATTTGGCATTACAGGCTTATATATGTCGCCAGCGGACACAGAAAGTTGATGTTGACTCCAGTAGAAAGGGTTGTAAAGAAAGAATGATGACAGTATTATTTGAAGGACAATTACCTGACAATATCAAGTTGAGGTACAATTAACGCAATCTATTGCTTTTGTTGTAATAATAATAATAATAATAATAATAAACTTTATTGATATCGTATCCTTTATAGAATCTTGAGTTAAATTACAATAATTGTATGTTGAATAATTGCAATTATCATTATATTACCAGAATTTTTGTTACCATAGAAACATGCTACTAGTAGAGAAAATATGGTAGCTCAAACTACATAATTAATAGCTCCAACTCATCAGATTTATAGATCTTTCAAATCTGAATAAAAACCTGATCAGGTAGAGGCTCTATTGGATTTCAAAATGCCATTGATATCTACCTGTCTGATGGAATTTTCAACCAGTTAGAGTGTAGTTCGTCTTACTGAAATTCACCATGTAAAATGACCTTTGATTGGTTGCTGTTGTAACAAGATCTAATCACTATTAAAATATTTAGAGCAATGTGACTGGAAATAATTTAAAACAGAACTTCTACCTGAGAGTTTAATTAGATTCTACTCCAACGTGTCAGTAGATTACATTTTATAGCTCTTAATCACCACTTATTATAGCTGTTATCATTAGTGAATCAGAATTCTAGAGTACTTCGTAGCTCATCAGAGTTATTCATCTCAGCTAATCAGAGTTTTACAGTACTTCCTAGCTCATCAGAGTTATTACTCTCAGCTAATCAGAGCTGTACAGTACTTCCTAGCTCATCAGAGTTACTGTGGAATACTTTATTTCCGCTGGAATTAATTTTCGCTGAAAAGGCTTTTTGGGCGTTTTGTGTGGAATTTATTTTTACTGATTTTTGATGAATTTAATGTGAAATATTGGAAAACAAGTATATTTGCTGGACTTTATTTTCAGGGAATCATCCCTTCAGCGAAAATAGCGAAAATAAATTCCAAGTGAAAATAAAGTATTCTACAGTATTACTCTCAGCTAATCAGAGTTGTACAGTACTTCCTAGCTCATCAGAGTTATTCATCTCAGCTAATCAGAGTTGTATCTTGTATCTAAAAGATTAGTTATTTATTATAGGTTGTGTCTCCTAACCCATCTCCTTATATCTTCTATCTAATCAGAGGTATATCTTCTAGCTAATCAGAGGTATATCTTCTAGCTAATCAGAGGTATATCTTCTAGCTAATCAGAGGTATATCTTCTAGCTAATCAGAGGTATATCTTCTAGCTAATCAGAGGTATATCTTCTAGCTAATCAGAGATATATCTCCTAACCCATCTCCTTATATCTTCTATCTAATCAGAGGTATATCTTCTAGCTAATCAGAGGTATATCTTCTAGCTAATCAGAGGTATATCTTCTAGCTAATCAGAGGTATATCTTCTAGCTAATCAGAGATATATCTTCAAGCTAATCAGAGGTATATCTTCTAGCTAATCAAGGTATATCTTTTAGCTAATCAGAGGTATATCTTTTAGCTAATCGGAGGTATATCTTCTAGCTATTCGGAGGTATATCTTCTAGCTAATCAAAGGTATATCTTCTACCTAATCAAGCTTATATCTTCTAGATAATCAGAGGTATATCTTTTAGCTAATCAGAGGTATATCTTCTAGCTAATCAGAGGTATATCTTCTAGCTAATCATAGGTATATCTTCTACCTAATCAGAGGTATATCTTCTAGCTAATTAAGGGATATCTTTTAGCTAATCAGAGGTATATCTTCAAGCTAATCAGAGGTATATCTTCTAGCTAATCAGAGGTATATCTTCTAGCTAATTAAGGTATATCTTTTAGCTAATTAAAGGTATGTCTTCTAGCTAATCAAGGTATATCTTCTACCTAATCAAGGTATATCTTCTAGCTAATCATAGGTATATCTTCTAGCTAATCAGAGTTATATCTTCTAGCTAATCAGAGTTATATCTTCTAGCTAATCAGAGGTATATCTTCTAGTAATCAGAGGTATATCTTCTACCTAATCAAGGTATATCTTCTAGCTAATCAAAGTATATCTTCTAGCTAATCATAGGTATATCTTCTAGCTAATTAAGGGATATCTTTTAGCTAATCAGAGGTATATCTTCTAGCTAATCAGAGGTATATCTTCTAGTTATTCAGAGGTATATCTTCTAGCTAATCAGAGGTATATCTTCTAGCTAATTATAGGTATGTCTTCTAGCTAATCAGAGTTGTATCTTTAAGCTATTCAGTTATATGTCCTCGCTAATTAGAGTTGTATCTTTCAGCTATTCAGTTATATGTCCTGGCTAATTAGAGTTGTATCTTTCAGCTATTCAGTTATATGTCCTGGCTAATTAGAGTTGTATCTTTCAGCTATTTAATTATATATTCTAGCTAATCAGAGTTGTTTCTTTCAGCTAGTTATATATCCTAGCTAATAAGAGTTACTTCATTCAGCTATTTATTTATATATCCTAGCTAATCAGAGTTGTATTTTTAAGCTACTAGTATTTATATATATCCTAGCTACTCAGAGTTGTATTTTTTAGCTATTTAGTTATATATCCTACCTAATCAGAGTTGTATCTTTCAGCTACTCAGTTATATATCCTAGCTAATCAGATTTGTTTCTTTCAGCTATTTAGGTATATATCCTACCTAATCAGAGTTGTTTCTTACAGCTATTTATTTATATATCCTAGCTAATCAGAGTTGTTTCTTTCAGCTTTTTATTTATATATCCTAGCTAATCAGAGTTGTATCTTTCAGCTATTTATTTATATATCCTAGCTAATCAGAGTTGTTTCTTTCAGCTATTTAGTTATATATCCTAGCTAATCAGAGTTGTTTCTTTCAGCTATTTATTTATATATCCTAG